CTCTGTGTGTGTGTGTGTGTGTGTGTGTGTGTGTGTGTGTTTATGTCATTGACAATGGTTCCTTTGATCAGACAAAGACCTTGGCTTGGACGTGATAGTAGTTGTCGTTTCCTCCCTCCCACTCTCTCCACACAAATTACACAGCATGCCATGCATAATAACTTCAGAACTGAAAAGAAAGCATCCTTTTTTTTCCCTTCTGAAAAATTTTTAGAAGGGCGACGGCCTTGCATATCAGCTCCAAACTGACCGGCACCGTGTAAATTCAGACTTATTCTACTCTCATCTTATTCCCTTGGGATTCGAACTAGGGTCCTGTAAAAAAAAAAAAAAAACAGTTCATGGGTGTGTGAACTGGTTAAGCCTGTTGGTTGCAGTGACAGACTGACATAAAACCAGGTCACATCAGTCCTTAATTGACGCTAAAAAAAAAAAAAAAAAAAAAAGTCGTCACATGGGTATGAAGGTTTGATGGCACTTGGGCCTTTTGCCCACCTAAGGGCACACTCACACCGCGTACCCAAAATCGTATTTTCCTAGGCTACTAGAGTGGCCCGGGTCCACTTGCCCGGCCGGGCCAAAAAGATATAAAAAAATAAAAAAATAAAAATTATTTTTTAATTTAAAATTTTATTTTAAATTTGGTAAAGAATTTCGATGTGACCCTGAGGCAAAAGTTGTTCAGTTTAGTTTTCTGCATAACATAGTTTGTTTTTGGATTTTTTGGATTTTTTGGATTTTTTTTTTTTTTTGGCAGGGACCTTCCCTGCTCCTTGCACGGCCGGGCCGCCGGGGAAAATAGGGTGACCCGGGCGGCCCGGCTGGTAGCCTAGGTATTTTCTTTGAAAAAATGGGATGCCCGAGGTTCAATCCCCATTGGCCTCATGCACCTTCCTGGGCAAGCTTGGCGCCCGCCACCTAGAGATATGTCGTTGGTCCGGCCGAGTGGCATTGAGCAGAGACTGCTGATGTTCATAGGGGGAGGGGACTGGAGGGGAGGCACAGTGACTGGCCCATCGAAGAAGCTCGGTCCTGATGCTACCGGCTGACCCCTGGCCGGTATCGCCCACCTGCTGTAGCAGGTATCGCACCTGCTGGTGGGTGCAGCTCCCGCATGTTCCCTCGTTGGAGGCTTGAGCACGGATGTGGCTGCTATGGGGTTCCCCGTAATACTATAATGACAGTAAAAAAGGCCTGAAAGGCCGTCCTGTCCAGATTTGACAGGTAATTGAATTGGTTGGGCTTAAAGAATTAGCCTTTTTTTTTCTTTTTTTAAAAAAAAAAATAGTGGCTGGACAGGTCACACTGCGTCCCCCATTTTGCAACAGACACAAGGTTGCGGCCTCCTAGATTTTGGGTCCTCTTCGACTGCTCCAGTCACACTGCGAGATCGCATTACCTGGCACTATCTTCGTCTTCGAATTTCTTTCGTTTTCCACAGGTTGATTCCAAACAAGAAAGGGAATTAATTTTGGGGTAACCTCCTCCCGAGGTTACCGCAAATTCCCAACCCCCGCGGCCCCTCAGGCCGCTGACAAATGGGGTCACGAATATGTAGTTTGGGGAAATGAGATCCTGGTGTGAGTATCCCTCGACACTATGTATTTCGGCATTTTGGGGGGAACTTTGGGGGTTTCGCACGGCAGTCTGCGCATCCCCTAAGAGCATACTGAGGGCACACTCACACTACCACGTATTTTTGCAAAATCGCGAATTTTATGTAGTTTTTCGGGTCACAAGAGGCACGTATTTTGCGTGTTCACACAAAAGGGCACGTAAATGTCAGCGGCCTGGACAGCTGCGGGCTTACATATTTTGC